TTTGCCGAAGAGGCCTTCTACAACATAGTAGTTAAATGCAGTTAACATCTGCCCCCAGATGATTGTTTTATCAAGACACCATCTCCAGCCTTTACTTAACCAAGAGCTTCAAGGCAGGGGATCTTGAAAAAGTTCTTTGGAGCTGTTGTCTATACTTTCAAAATTATTTAACAAGTGCTTATCAGAGTCTTGTTTTCCAGCCTGCTGGAAAGTGGCATCTGTTATCCCTATTTGAAAAAACTCTGGAGAGAGATCTGACTATTAATTTTATTAATCCTATTAGTCTTCTTACTATCATAAGCATAGTTTTTGAATCTTTGATTAACAAATACTTAATCTCATACCTTGAATCAAATATCTTACTATCTGATCATGAATATGGATTTCAATCTTGTTGTTCTACTGTTGATTTTTTAAGGGTAATAACAAATAGGATTTATTGTTTATTAAATAGATGTGAAGAGGTTTGGACTATTGCCATCCCAAAGGAAGGGAGGGTAATGGTTGTCTAACCCCCCTAGGAAAATTATATATCAAAAATTAGCCCGCAAATATGGACACTGGAGTTGGAAAAATTTGATCTGTTGTTGGCAATGGTAGGACTTTTTTTTTTTAAAGTCTCAACAAATTTTTTTTAGGCCTTAGTTGGCAAAAAACAGGTATGTCAATTACTTGGAGGAGGTATTTGAGCTTGAAAAGGATCTCACTTCTGCTACATCATAGGGCTAAGAAGTGACCAGGGCCCCAGCTAAAAATGAGGCTTTTTGCAAACTCAGTCCTTGCAAAATTTCAAGATTTAGCAAGAGTTGAAAGCCGGAGCTAGAAAAAAATTTATTTTATTTTATAATATAAAGTAATATATTTTTTTCTAGCCCCGGCTTATAATAATTATTTATACCATTTTTACATTCATGTAAGATGAACATTATGAATCAAATGTTTGAAAAGTTCATTGATTCAATTTGATAATCATTAGATTAATTAATTTTTTTAAAATTTTTTTAAAAGAAAGTTACACTTGTTTACCACACTTTTTCATCAGTGTATAAATCTTTATAAAGTTAGCATAATGACTATCTGTGGCAACTTTTATGAAAGGAAGTTTAATTTTAAAATTTAGCAAAGCATCTGACATTTTGACTATTCATCTATTACTTATATAACTAAATTATACATTATAAAAATTTCATCCAAATCTAAAATGTTTTATATATATTTAAAAATATTTACATATTAGGGAATTCCAAACCAAATAATTAGGCAAAAAAAGACTCTGCATACCTGACAAAAAATACTAATAAAAAACTCAGATATCAAATTTGCTATAACAAAAATAAATATCTAAACTTGTATTTCAAATGTCTTCTATGTGCATTGTTACAAGCTACACATCAAGCAATTCTTAAAATTTTTATTTCAAATCTCCCATGTCTTCTTTCTATAGTTTTAAAATTACACTGGTTTTATCCTGAAGGAAGGAATGTTAAGGTAAGTTCATCCTGAAGTTCTCTTTAAGCATCAATACACACACACACACACACACACACACACACACACACACACACACACACACACACACACACACACACACACACACACCCACACACACAATATACTGAACCTTTTCTAACCAACGCTAATTTTTTAAATGATAAACCACAGTTTAAAAATTTTGGACCCTAATACCAAAAACAACTCCTATGAAAACCCTTTTGAGGGGTGTTAGTACATATCATAGGGATCTCATAACAAGTAATTTTTAAATCCGGGATTATCGTCTGCAAGACTTATTCAACATTGAAGTTTTTGCTTTTAAATTACGAAACCTGAAAAATTGCAAAATTCCTCCAAAAATATTTGGCTGCCCTAAATTACCATATTATGAAGTAAAAAGGTAACAAATGATAAAAATACATCTTAAAACATTTATTTATTACAAAATAAATACATTCTAAAGATAAACTAATAAATTCTCAAAAATGCATCATGTTCATTGATGGTCAGTGCCTCATAGCAAGCTACTCTACATTTTCTTGCTGTTATAATCAATGACACACTTCAGGAGTTGACTGGAGTAGTCTGGATGGGTGTTCAATCTTTTGTATTGCTCCCAATGCTTGCCAAAATCCGAATGCAGTGCTTCAGTGGTTTGTTCACTGTATAGACCAAGGCTTTTCTTTTTCAGCTTGATGAACTGTGTCACATGGTGGAAAATAGTGTGAACTTTTGGAGTAACAGAAATTCCCAAACTCATGTAACTGTTTTTGAAGATGGTGATTTTTTCCTCATAGTTGGGATGTAGAGTTTTTCCAAAGCATGCAGAGACAACTTTGAATGTCTTTGAATGTCTGAATGAATTGAGACATTGAAAAGTCTTTGAATGTCTGAATGAATTAAGATGGCTCAGAAGTGCTCTCGATTTCAGCCTCTTCAGCCAATTTGTCAATTTTCCTCAGAAGCTTCATGCAGTCATTGCCATTGAAGTGCCCTCCATGAAATAGCTGAATCTTGATGTGCAATGAAGTTGGCCATTCTGTGGCCTTTGGCCATTTTTGCACTAAGCATTTGAACAGGTGGTTGACCACCCCTAGCAGAAGATGAAGCTCCATAGGTGGGATGAACTTCAAAATCAGTGCTTGATCAGGACCAAAGATTAAAGAACTGTGGACAGCATTTTGGAACTCCTTGGATCTTCTTACATCTCCACCACTACCCACAAAGCTTTGATGTTGAGCTCTTATAGCTCCAAAGGAGCGGAGATTCCCACACAGAAGAAGCTTTGAAGACTCATCACACCAACAGCAAGGGTGCTTGCTGCTATGAGACTGGATGCCACAAATAATGTTTGCAAGTTTCTTATCGCAAGAAATTACTGCAGCTTCTGATGGGATTAGTTCTTAAAACTTGATAAGTCGAAAAATCTCTTGCACATTCCAATAATTTTCAGGAGTGTCATCAGCAACAGCCACAAGAAATTGCTTTTTCACACTAGTTTGCTTTGAGACTTGTGTCGTGAGTTTGGCAGATTTTTGGACAGGATTGTGGGGCTCTAGGTTGTTTTCTTGTGATGAGAAAGGCCTTGTGAGAGAACAGACAAACATTTTGCACAACGTTTTTCTGAAATTTTAGGTGGCTGACTGGTTGTTACAGGCTTGTCTTTTTGCTCAAGTGGGTGAGTTTCTTTACCTTTGAGCCTCCCAATTTGGCAGATCAAACAATCACAGGTGTTTGAACTTCGAGTTGCCGGTTTTATTTGGATGTCTTCAAACCTGTACAATCTTGGTTTACACGTCTTAGGATCCCCATCTTCAAGCTTTTTCAGATTAAAACAACATGTCTGACATGAGGCAAGAGGAACTCTGCAGTCATTGAAGCTCAGATCATTCTTGATGAGGCGCTGAATCTTTTGCTTTAAAAAGTCTGTCAGAACTTGGTCTCCTTTCTTCATGCAGATAATGCACACAGATTTTCGACAATCCTTATGGGTTGTTGCTGAATTGGGCATTTTTGATGCACATTCTACCAATTTTTCTTCAAAACTATGATATTTATGCAGCCCTTTCCCGGAAAACAATCGCCGTAATTTTGTTGACATTTATTTGGTGATAAGAATTTAAAAAAATCACACTGGTGTTTTAAAATATACCAAATACCATCAAGTAACACTTTCTTAACCTTTTGATACTTGTTATATTTAGAAAAGTTGTGTAAACTTGTGTCAGAAAAATTTTTCAGTAAAAGTCACAGCATTTCATTAAGATAAAACTAATAAAGTCAAATAAATCTTGCAGACGGTAATCCCTGATTTCAAAATTACTTGATATGAGATCCCTATCATATGTACTAACACCCCTCAAAAGGGTTTTCATAGGAGTTGTTTTTGGTATTAGGGTCCAAAATTTTCAAACTGTGAAACGTTCTTTATTTGCAAACTTTCTCTGCTTTACTCTAACTAATTAAAAAATTAGCGCCATGTTTATTAATTAAAAAATTAGTGTCTAGGCTTAATTGTTTATTTTTTAGATGTTGCTACATCAATTTCCTGATTTGTACAGTGATTACCTTTTCCAGATATATCTGGAATTCTGGATATTTTTTTAACTTTTAGTTTTTCTAGAAGTCCAAAAATTTTTCTGTAAATGTTGATATAAATATATATTTTGGTGATATATTTGTTAACTTCTTCATACATCACCCTTACAAAATTTAAGGAATGTATCAAAAAAAAGTTAAGGAACGCACTACAAAAATTAAAGTAAAAAAATTAAATTAAAGAGAAAACAAGAGGAAATGTATTTGCGCAATGTTTAATATTCTAGGTTTTTTTTGCGCCATATTTAAAGAATTTTTAAAGTATAAAAAAAAAGCAACAACATCTCACGAAGAGTTCAATTTTTGTTTTATTATATTAAAACATTGTTAACTGCAATGGAATAATACTTTTTCAAGCAATATTGAAATCTAGAAAAAAATATGCTTGATGTGCATTTTTTGTGTTATGTTGTTTATTAGTCTTAAGTATCTATATCTGTTCTAATTTATTTATATTTAAGTCTAGAAACCAGTAGTTTCTAGACTTCAATAAAAGTCTAGAAACCAGTAGTTTTTTAAGTCTAGAAACCAGTAGACTGAATTTAAGTTTTTGGTGAGTATCAACATGAATACAATATAATAAAACCCATTATACAATAGAACATACATAATAGTAATAATATGTAACAAAGGTAATAATAATTATTCTTAAATAATCTTTTTGCTGAATTTTTCTTGCCTTGGGTATTTTATGCTTGTCTTTATGTCTAATTTGTTTATAAAAATCTAATTTGCTTATAAAAGATAATTTTTGGTTATTTAAATATAATTTTGCTTATTTAAATCTTATCTTGTTTATTCAAATCTAATTTTGTTTATTAATATCTTCTCTTAGTTGTTAAATTTATAAGATTCAAGTAGGATCGTGATAAAAAATCTATAAAAACATAGCCATTTTCTTATTTTAGGTTGCTGCTAACAATGAATACACTGGTTCTTATAGTGAGCTGATTATTTCTACCCAAAAAACTCCTTCAAGTAAATTATTCTTAAAACTGTTTATTGTATATTACACTATTGTCACTAAGTTCTTAAGAGATGGCATTTTTATATCTTCTATGTTTATGTCTTATGTTTTTATGTGGCATTTAGCTTAGTTTACCTCGGAGGCAGAATCTAAATTATTTAATTAAAAGTTTTTAATTTTAAAAGAGTTTAATTAAAAGAATTTAATTAAAAGAATTTAATTAAAAGTTAATTTTGAATTAAAAGTTTAAATTTATTAAATTAAGAAACAGTTTTGTGATTGAATGGCAACAACATTGGGTTATATTTACATGCAGATATTTTCTTTAATATTCAAAAATTTATTTTTTAAAAGTTTTTTTCAAATCAGTTGATTTCAAAATTAGTTTGTTCAATAAATATTTTTGAAAAGTTTTTATTATAACTACTTTTTTCAGTCTTAGATAAACCATGGATGTTTGCTTTGATTGGTTTCTTAGCCATTGTTTTACTGGCCGCCCTCATTATGATTGTTATACTTGTATCAAGGTATATAATTATTATAATGAAAATATTAAAGCTAACTAGATTAAGTAGTATGACTTTTACACTTTTATTAACATGTTATCATGATTATTGTGCTTGTATTAAAGTATTATTATTTCGTAATAATTTTTTGAAAATTATTAAAAATATTATTGATATCAAGATATCAACTTTAAAGTTCTATCATGGTATAATAAACTTTTTGCGTCACGGTAAGAAAGGAGGCGTTAACTTCCTGGTTAAATGTACTTCCGCGTGCTCTGTGACAATACCATTAGGTGCTCCGTGACAAGACCATTAGGACTTCTTGGAGCACCTAAATAACAAATTAAAAAAAATTAAAAAGTTCTTTCAAGGTATCAATATTTATAGGTTCAAGTGTGACAAGAAATGTAGTTTTAACTATTTTTTTTTGTGGATAATTTTGCTCTGCGAATTTATTGGTTAAATTTGTAATCACTCTGCAATTGTATTGGTTAAATTTGTAATCTCTCTGCAATTGTATTGGTTAAATTTGTAATCTCTTTATCTGTATTATAATTGTTTTATAATTTTGTTTACAAGATAATGCAATTTCAAAAAAATTTTAGTTTTCCCATTCAACTTAAAATTATGTTTAAAAATGAGAAAATAAAAGATGTTAGAGAAAAAGTTTTGCATAAATATTTGGAAAATCCTAAAAAAAACTAGAATTTAATAGAAAGTAAGTTGAAAATACAACCCTTTTAATGAAATAAAACTGGTTAAAGAACTGGTTAACAATTTTAAGATTAATCAAGCTTCTCCATAAAGTAACACACAAAAAGAGGTTTTCTCATAAAGTAACACACAAAAAGATACAGGTTTTTTCATAATTTATTGTAAAAAATTTAAATAAACGTGGTCTTCATTCTTTTAAATTGCAAAAAGTGCCCAACAATTCTGAAACTCACAAATAATGTGCAAGAACCTGCAGTAGAAAGTTGTGTAACAATTATATTTCAAATATTGTCATCAATAAATTTCTGATGTCTATTACATTGCCAAGTATGAAGAAAAATATATAAAAAATGTAAATTTACAAAATGATAAGATTGCTAAAAAAGCATTGATTTGGCAAGCCATTTGCAGGTATTGTAAAAAGTGAACACCTTGTATTTCTGATTCTACATTTTCTGGTCAAGTGTATGCTTAGGAGTATATATAAAAATGTCTTTTACCTCTCATTAAATAACATGATATGTGTTCTGAACACATATCATGTTATTTAATTTAGCTATAAGTTATTATTGTAAACTGACATGGTTTAATGGAATGGTTTAAACAAAATGATGTGAAAGTTGTACTTAAAACAGCAAATCCTCTAAACTGCAAAGAATTGAGAGTTATTGAAAAGTAGTTATTAAACAATTTTTGAATTTATTAAACTTTATTACAATTGTTAAACAAAAAATTTTAAAAAAAAAATTCCGGAATTATTAAATGTCATTTAAAAAAGGTAATTTAAAAAAACATCAAAAGATTTTATATTGAAGAAATAAACATAAAAAATTTTTAAATATACCATAGAGTTATATTGTAAAATTAAATATATCTTAAAAAAAAAAACCTGAACAAAATCTTATTTAAGGTTTATTAAAATATCTTTGAAGTTCAACTTAACATTTATAATTAGTAAATGAAATTTAAATGTTTTACACTATATCTTCAATAGTTAGTTTTAACAACTGTCAAGATCATTGACAGTTGTTAAAACTAAAAGTTTATGATTATTTGTTGAATATTTTCATTATTATTTTAATAAAAGTAATAACAAAACATAAATACTAATATATGTAGTTAATTATTATTATATTAAACATAAATAAATATATTATAAAACATAAATACTAATATATATGTATTTATTTTTGGTATCATTAATATATGAGTGTTATAATATTTTTTATTGTAGAAGACAGAATAAATACAAAAATGTACGAACAGATGATATTGAAATTGATATGTGCATACGTAGTAAACCAATTATGAAAGATTTTCTGAAAGAATATTGCGTTCAGCAACATGCAAACAGTGATCATGGTTTTCAACAAGAATACGAGGTAAACAGTGTTTTTTTAATAAAATTGTTAATATTTGCTAGTTTGAGTTGTTCAACACCTTTCCTCTATTAAACCTTAGCATTTTTTATTGTTAAAAACAATTTCATTGTGGTTTTTTGCATGATAAAAACTGTTGTGATGAACACGCACTAATCTTAAATTTAGTTGTTATTTAAATACATACATATATTTATATATAAATCAGTAGAAAATCACTTATCAAAATTTTATATTTTACGCTGTATTTCATTAATTAAGACTCAACATAAATTAATGTTCAAATTAGTAAAACTTCAATTTATATCAAAACTTAAACTTTATTAACTGCGGTTATTTAGTTACTACAATTACTATAAATATACCATAATATTTTTAAAATTACTGTATATGAATGGTAACCATGGTAACCAAATATGTGCATATATAGGAATTTTGTTAGGATGGCTTGAAAAATTAGTAGTCTTTATTTTAGAGCCTCTCATTTGGTGTTTTAAGTATTTAAAACAAATACTGTTAGTGATATATTGTGCTGTTAATGATGATTAAAAAATTAGAGTTATATTATTATTTTTTAATGCGCTAGCATGTAAAATGAAAATGATAAATAATACAAGCAAAATTTTTACATTGTTACTTTTATATAATTTTTTTTTTACATGTATTTACTTTTTGTATAGTTGAGGGGGCTGGTACAATTGAGAACGTGTTGTTAAAATTCGTTTTGTTACAGACCTTTAATAACTTTATGGATAAAAAGTTGATACATATATGTTTAAGAAATAAGGTTATACATGCAAAGAGTTAAATTCATATAGTTATATGTACAGTTACATCTGCATAATTAAAACTCTATAGCTATTATCACATAATAATATTTATTGAACTCTTTTAGTGAAATTAGTGAATTGAACTGTGACAGCATTATCATAGTTTAATTTAATATATTTTTTATTTATTTTTCACAGTTGTTAAAATCATATCCACATAATTTTACATGGGAACACAGCCAGATGCCTTATAATCAACCCAAAAACAGATACAGCAATATAGTAGCATGTAAGAATTTTTGATTATCTATTTGAATTTTTTGTTTTCAATTTTTTTTATACCGACAATTTTTTTGTAGAATGGTACCTGTCTTGTAATACTTTCTATAATCAGGATTTGAAGTACATCTTTGGTTTCATTTAAGTATATCTTCAGTTTCATATAAGTATATCTTAAGTTTCATTTAAGATATCTGAGGTTTCACTTAAGTATATCTGAGGTTTCAATTAAGTTTAGGGTACATTAGTGTATTATGAGTACCTTAAGCAAAAATTGTTGTTTTTTCAAAAACAATTATGCTCGATCAAAATTTTTTGTGAATAAGCATTTTTTACAGTCACTTTTTACGGTTCACAATCTGTTTTCTTAAAAACACTGAGGTTTTAAATAAGCAGCAAAAGTGCTCATATTACCCAGGCCACTTGGTAATATGAGGGCTTTAAATTAGCTCAAAAAAGTAACATTATTTAAGTAAAAAAATACCAACCTAACAATTAGAATTAATTTGTGGATTTTTATGATTCATTATCAACAAAACTTATCAATGAGAGATCAAGTTTTTATGAAAGATCAAATTTTTATGAAAGATTTTAAGCCACTTTTTATTGAAGCACACTACTTAGTTTTATGGAAGAAGACAAAAAAAAATTAGTCTGTTATTTTTTTTTAATTTTCTTATCTCAAGCCTCTAAATGATAAAATTACAAATTTTTTGAATTTAAATTTCAGAAAGACATTTAGTATTGTTAAAGGATAAAAAAAAATTTACTTTGTTTTTATTCAAAAAGCAATTAAAACTACTGCAATTAAAACTTTAAATTAGGTAATTTCAATAAAAAACGCTGGGTAATTTGAGCATGCTCATATTACATAAAAATGTTTTCTTTTAATAAAGTCAAAACAAAATGTTTTTATGCATTGTTTTTTGAGCCGAAATGGAACGGATTTCTAGCTAACATATTTTTCTTTACAAAAAATTAAATTTCTTTATTTTAGCATCAAAATTTGGGTTCAAAATTGGGTTCAAAATTTGGCACCACAGATTTATGCGTAACTTTAACTTCACTGCTTACATCTTAGAAATCTTTAAGTATGCTCATATTACCATGATGCTCATATTACCCTAATCCACCATAACTAAGGTTGCTTTCAAGTAAATATGAAGTTTCTTTTAAGTATATCTGAGATTTGTTTTAAGTATGTCTAAGGTTTCTTTTAAGTATATTTGATGTTTTTTTAAAGTATATCTGAGGTTTGTTTTAGGTGGTTATTTTTTAAAATGAGTTATGCTAAATAAAAATTTTAAAAATAATTTTGTTAGAGAAATTTTGAGAGTTGAGTTTTTCAATAAACTCTTAATATCTTTTACCTAATCTTTATATAGATATCTTGATATCTATTTGTTTACTTTTTTTTTTTTTGTCCAAAGATTTAGGATATAAATTGCTAACCCTCTAGATTAGGATATATTTCCTAACCCACTAGATTAGGATATAACTGCTAACCCAAGATTATAACTCAACTATAAAATAACTTACATTTAAGATTATAACTCAACTAGTTTGTTTGTTTTGTTTAGATTAATTTTTACTAAATTTAATTCATTCAGATAAAAAAAGTTAATTTTTATTTATATATTAAAACTAATAAATATAAATATTTTCTTTAGATGATCACTCAAGAGTTATATTGTCTGAACTGAATAATGATGCAAGTACAACATATATCAATGCAAGTTATATTGATGTAGGTTCTTTTTTTTTGCATTTGTTTCCTTTTTTAGTTAAAAATATACAATAAACACAAGTGATTTTTAAAATGTTTTATTGAAACCAATTATTGGAGTATTTTTATTAAACCATAAAACCATAGTGTGCGACATATATAAAGGCTTTAAGTCTTGTCAATTATATTTTATTTGTCAAAAAATAACATTAAAAAGAATTTTTAGGGTGTTTAACCTATTGTTTAAATCAAAAGTGGTTTTAAATAAACATTAACTTTTGATTGAAAAATGGAGTTTAACATAAAACTATAATTTTGTTATAACACTATTTATCAAACCTTGACGAACAAGGCCGCTGCGCGGAGAAACGAGTTGAGCGCGGTACTACCAGGGACGTGGTGGGGATCGAACTCGGAACCACTCGTTTATGAAGCGAGCGCTCTACCACTACACCACTACCGCATTAAACTTGAAGCCAGCACTGGCTTCACATGTCTTTTTAGTTCCTAAAAACTTAATAACAGCAATTGATCCTGTTCATCATAGAGTAGAAATAAAATTCTTAGATTTGAGATAAAAATAGTTTCTATGAAAAATGGGTAGAGTAATAACTTAATTTTAGCCCCTCTGTAAAACTCTTAGCATTATCAATTTAAAACATTTGGAATATTAAACTTAAAGACGTTAGAAATTTAAGAGTATTGTAATTAATTTAAACATGCTTAGATTCTTAATTACAGTTTTTATTGTAAAATCAAACTTTACAGTTTCATTTTATAACCTGATCTAATTCCATGGTCAAACACTTAAACATAAATTTCTTCAAACATAATCTAATTTCACAATCAAACACTTAAACATAAATTTGTTCAGACGTAGTCTAATTCCATGGTCAAACACTTAAACATAAATTTCTTCATCAAGAAGTTTTTGATTGCACTATTTTTATTTGAGTTAGTTGATAAAATACAATTATCAATACCTCCTACTTAAAATTTTCCTTTAGTTCAGATCTTCTCTCTTTGGTCTTTTATATTAGTTTTGCTCTTCCAAAAGAAACCTATATAATTTGTTGTGCTTTTAAGTTTTAATTTTAATTAACATTTAATTAATATCATGTTAAACACATGATATTAATTATAAAAAGTTATAAAAAAAAGCCATCAAAAAAAAAGTTAAATAAAAAATTAATTTTAAATTTTTGTAATTGATATCAAATTAATTAATTTTAAATTTACATAATAAAATAAATTCAAGTTAGTTTATTTTATTATATAAATTCTAATTTGAAATAAGTTACCTTCAGTTTTTATAACTTAGCTTTTTACTAACAATACAATTGAAGTATGCACATTTGAATAGTTAACCATTTGATATTCTTGTCATCACTGGGAAGAGCTTTCAGACTGCAATTGTGCAGGCAGATCAAACAGATTTCTTCCAGATTATCCAATAATATTGCATAGTCTGAAGAGCTTTCATCATACGAGCTTATGTATACAAGAGTATTTGTAATGGAATTATCCCAGAAAAGCTTGAAAAAAGTCAATGGAGTCATTGCATCAAAATTATGGGGAGGATGACTAAAACTAGCCCCAGAAAAATCAGATTTTGATTGAGGAGATTCTTTTTCCCCCCATCGAAAGGTATTTTTCACCTGTGTACAATCATCAACTTTGTCATTATCACTTTTTAAATCATCATCTGTATCATCACAATCGTCTGCAACTGCATTTTTCATAAAAACACTTTCCACTTGAAAATCAGGTTCTTCATTGCCATTGTCCTCCAAATCAGATAACTCAAAATCAGAACAAGAGGATAATATATAATGCTTCAACATTGTATCTAGTTTTATAATTTTTTTCTATCTGTAATATATATGTATATGTGTGTGTATATATATATATATATATATATATATATATATATATATATATATATATATATATATATATATATATATATATATATATATATATATATATGTATATAGGGTTTAAAATAAGCGCCGGACATCGAACATTGTCAGGCACTTGTCCGGTAAAAAATGACATCTATCGGTCATTTTGTCTAACATTTTTTATTTGCATTTCTTTTCCAATTATTTTAGTTGTTCCAAAAGTTATTAATAAATTCAGTATTGTATATAAACTTTATTTTTTGAACTTTTTATTTTTATACAAAAAAAAATTGAAGTTGAACACACGGCTAGTTAATAAATACTTCATTTTATTGGCGTTGATTCATTTTTTAAAAGGAGCTAAAGCATTACATTTTTATGATTTAAGTAGCCCAGTTTTTATCATTCATATTAAAACGTTGCAATTAGTTACAAATTTAAATATATAGTTTAGTATTTATTTTATTTTTTGTTTAATGGTTTTTATAAATTTCAAACAAACACTTTAGGTTTTAAAACCTCTTTTAAATTTTGTTTTATAAAAACTTTAACATAATAGATATTTTAATAGTTTAATAGTTACGCTTATAGAAACCAGTACTTTTTATTACACTATAGAAACCAGTACTTTTTATTACACTATTAAATTCGAGTTGTTACCTAAATTTTGTTTTTGTTCCAGAAAAGTTTGCTATTAAAAGTATTATAAAATTAATCCTAGACAAGGTTTGAAAAGATTTATAAAAAAATACATATTTATATAAATGTAATTATGTATAATATTCTTTGATAATTTAAATAAAAAAGGGTTGTTTTTTTTAAACATAATTAATTTGTTACTTTATTTAATAAAGTATTATAGTTTTTATATATTTACATAGTAATTTATGTATTTAATAATTTTGTATTATACATTTTTATTACATATTTAATTATGTAAATAATAAATAATTACATAGTTAATGTATTTAATATATTTACGTAATAATTTATTTAATAACTTACAAAGCATTTCGCATAATATAGTATTTTTAAAAATTGTAATATAAATATTTATTTTTTTTCAAATTTTAGTTTTTTGAGCTTTGATTTTTCTAGTTATTTAGTTTTTTGAGCTTTTTCTTTTTATTAGATAATTTATCTTACATATTTACATTTCATTTTCAGCATATTTCAGTTGTCATGCATACATACATACATACATACATACATACATACATACATACATACATACATACATACATACATACATACATACATACATACATACATAAATACATACATACATACATACATACATACATACATACATACATACATACATACATACATACATACATACATACATACATACATACATACATAAATACATACATACATACATACATACATACATACATACATACATACATACATACATACATACATACATACATACATACATACATACATACATACATAAATACATACATACATACATACATACATACATACATACATACATACATACATACATACATACATACATAAATACATAAATACATACATACATACATACATACATACATACATACATACATACATACATACATACATACATACATACATACATGCATACATACATATGTACTTCATATCAATCATTTATCATTGTCAATATCAGTATTATCAAGCCCATGCATATTTAAACAGTTTATTGTAATTTTGTTCAAATAATATTGACAATATATTGTAGTTTTTTCAAATATTTGAATAAAACTACAATATATTGTCAATAATATTTGAACAAAATTACAATAAATTGTTGAAACATATCTTAATGAAAAGTACACAAGATTTTACCAACGAAGTCCGTTGTTGCCAAACGGCAACAAATATTTTTAAAAAAGTTTTTAGAAAAAAGTAAATGAGAAAAACAATAACAATTGTGGAATTTTAAAAACTAGATACATATTGACATGATAAAAAAATAATAATAATTTATTTTATAATAAACTCATATTGTAGATTTATAAAACAACAATATCAGAGTCTAAAGCCCAAGCACAAGTATGAGGACTTAAAAGTAATTTGAATGTGTATTGCATTCATTTTTTTTTTTTTTTTGCATTTTTTTTAGTGCTGAATAATCATAAAATAAAATGACGCATTAAAATTAAACAAATTAAAGACCAGACACAGAGGTGATTGATATTAATCTTTTGTTGCCATACAGCAACAGTGGCCCATAAAGGGTTAAAATAAAAAATCTTCTATTATACTTTAAAAACTATTTTTAAAAAAACTGTTATTTTTTTTAGAAATTAATTATTTCACCTCAGTGATAAATTCCCAGAAATTACTGGTGCCTAATATATAATTTTATTTTTTTAATGAAATTATTTTTATAAATGCTTTTTTTTATTGAACTATATATTGAAATCATTTAAAATGTCTTTTTAATGTTTTAAATATGTATTTTGAAATTTTTATAAAAATTGTTTTTTTATTTCGATTTTTTTTAAATTGAATTGCATATTGAAATTACTATTGATAATGTTTTGTTTTCAGGGTTATAAAAAACCAAAGGCTTTTATTGCTACCCAAGGTTTTATATTTTTTTTAAAGTATTTTTTTTTTTAATATTTATGTTTTTGTTTTAAATAGTTTTGATATTTAATAATCTTTTAAAATTATATAAAATACAAATTTTAATACATATTTTTATATAATTTACATATTTTTAGTAATATTTATATATTATAAATTTATTTATTTACTTATTATTTTTTTGTTGTTGTTGTCTTTGAAGTTTACTGCTGTTTTTTAGGTCCATTGCCAGAGACTGTGATTGACTTTTGGAGAATGATATGGGAAACAGAAAGTTCAATAATAGTTATGCTTACGAACCTTGTTGAAGATAGCAGGGTAAACAGTTTTATTTGTGTTGAATTTATATATGACATGCTTAAATTAATTCAATTAAATTTATCGATGATTTTAATTGAATTAATTAAAATCATTGATGATTTGAATCAACCATTTTGAAACAAATATGTTTTGTTCAAAGCAAAAAAATTCTTTCTTTTTTTTTTCTTTTTTTTTTTTTTTGTTTAAATAAATAAATTGTTTATTTTTTTTTTAATTATTTTAGATAAAGTGTGAGCAATATTGGCCAGAAGGAAAAGGACTTCAATATAAAGACATTGTTGTTACTGTTGATTCAGTTCGTGAAATGACTGACTACACTGTCAGAATATTTACTTTGCAAAAGGTAAAAAAGAGATGTGACAACTTTAAAATTCAATAAAAAAAATATATAATAAATTACAAGTAGTCAGAAATTTTTTTAACTGAAAAAACTGAAAAATAATAAAAAAATACTTTTAAAGAAAATTAAACCAAAATACTTTACAACTAAACTTTAAAAGTTATATATTTATTTTAAATAAACACTTTATGATTTGTGTTATATAAGTTAATTAAAAGGAAAAGTGAATTATTAAAGGTAAATAATCAAAATTAAATAAAATAAATTACATTGCCCAACAGTGGTATTGTTTTGAAACTAAAATTAGTCATTTCTAATTTATTTCCACCTGCTGAATTCAAAAATGACATATTAGCTTTAGTTTAAGAAATAAAAGCAAATATTTTCTCTCAAGGGTTTAAACTTTAATTTTTTGAAACAAAAAAAATTTTGTTTTTTGACTATCCATGTTTTATTCATGTTTAAAACTTGTGATATTAGCTATGTGAGTTTGATAAAGTTTCTGGTCTAATCTATTTTTAATTGTTGTTTATTTTCATTTACTAGTGTAAAATTTGACAAATCAAAGTGTCAAGGAAGTGAGTAAATTTAGTGGAAAATTTTTGTTACATTTGTGGTGAAATAACATTTTCCTCATAGAAAAGAACTCTTGTAAAGACCAGCATTACTTCAATATGAAGGTAGGGGCTTCACATATATGCTATAGCTTTTGTTTGGTTACACTACGAGAATGGTTGAAAAATAAAATAAGATCTTTGGCTTTTGCTGTTCCTTTGGTATGGAGAGAACCTAAAAATCATACAGATGACTGCTATTTCTGTTTGACCCCACCCATTAAGGCAGGTTTGTCAATGAAAATAGGAACAGTCAAACTTCCTGGTTAAATGCACTTCTGCGGCGCTCTGTGAATATGTAAATTATATGTCATGTTGCTCTGTTTCAAATTAACTGAAATAAAAATTTATTGCTGTTGTATATCTCAGAAACTAGAGCTAATAAAAAAATTTTGTTGTCATTTTCTTTTTTCTCAGCCCAAAATTAGAATAATTTGAATAAAATTGCTAAAGATACAAAGAAAAAAATTTTTTTTGTTGCCAAGTGCTATTTGACATTGTAATTTCTTGAAAATAAAATGATATAATAAATAAAATAATAGTATAAATAGAATAATTATTCTTATCTTATACGATCCTTTTTGTTATAATGATTTTATAAAATATAAATTACTTCTACATTTTAATTATCTCATTATAATTATCATTATAGTAATGTGGTTTTAACATGACAAAACAGTGTTTTAAGTTTAACAACCTTTAAAAAAAACTTTCATTATGAATAAGAGTTTATTTTTATTAATTTTTTTACTAACTGATAGAAAAACATCTTTTCAGTTTAGTTTAATGTCCAAATTTTATTATGTTACCTTAAAATTCAGTTTTTTTTGAAAAATTAAAATAAGACAAATCTAGTAATGGTTAGATTATAAAATTTAAATGTAAAATGAATGAAAATTAAAAATAAATGAAACATATTTTGTATATTATTTACATTATTCAATATATTTTAAATGTTTTAATATAGTTTAAATGTCCAGAACTTGGTACACGTCAAGTGCGACAGTATCATTTTACCACATGGCCTGACCATGGTGTTCCATCTCATCCTACATCAGTTCTTTCCTTTACACGTCATGTAATGAGTTACATGGATACTTTGCCTCGTGCTGAATGTGTTGTTCATTGCTCGTAATTTTTTTACTTTTTTGTGCCTTTCATTTGTTGTTGTTTGTAAGTGTATTTGTTGTTAATTTTATTTTTTAATTCGTTTAATAAAAAGATTTATGATCAACTTTTTCCAGGGCTGGTGTTGGGCGTACTGGAACATTTATTGCTATTGAAATAGGTTTACGCCAACTTGAAGCAGAAAATAAAGTTGATGTATTTGGCTCAGTATTTGCAATGAGAGCACAACGAAATTTTATGGTGCAGACAGAGGTAATTTATATTGAATTCAAAACTTTACAAAAATTTTAAAATGGCTGATTTTTTTCTTTGATTTTTTTTTGTTTATTTAGCTTCAATACACTTTTATATACGATGCCTTGTTAGACAGTGTTGTATGCGGAAATACAGAGATTGCTCCAGCTGATCTGCCTGCCAAAATAAGGTTTCTTAATGAACAAGATCCTGAAACTAATGCATCAAATTTTGCTTCTGAGTTTAAAGTAGGTCTACTTGAACAGATTTTTGTTGAAATTTTATATGCTTTAATTTTTAAATTTAATATCTGAGATATTATTGCTTCATATATACAGTGTATAATATATAATGATTAAAGTATATATTTTTATTCATTACAAACACAACATCAAGGTTTTTATACATTCATAATTGAAAATAGTTAAAAAGCTTTCACTTATAAGTGATAGAACTATAAAAATTGCTTTCATTTTTCCAACTATTCTTCGAACCCCTAACTTAATTAGTGTTTTTCTGCAGCGTTTTTAAGAGTGAATTAGTGTGTGTGTGTGTATATATATATATATATATATATATATATATATATATATATATATATATATATATATATATATATATATATATATATATCTACCTGTCAAAATAAGGTTTCTTAATGAACAAGATCCTGAAACTAATGCATCAAATTTTGCTTCTGAGTTTAAAGTAGGTCTACTTAAATAGATTCTTGTTAAAATTTTATATGTTTATTTATTTTAAGCGATTAGAATCTGGAATTGCACCAGGTGATTCTAACCAATATACTGATGCTGCTCATCATGAAAATAAGCAGAAAAACAGATACCTAAATATATTACCATATGACAAAAACAGAGTTAGACTTATTCCAATTGCTGGCAGTCGACAATCTGATTATATCAATGCAAGCGTAATCGATGGTTTTCAGCAAAAAAATGCTTTTATTGCAGCTCAAGCTCCCCTTGAGAATACAGTGAAAGACTTTTGGCGAATGATTTTAGAGAAGAAAATTCAAACTATTGTTATGCTTACAAAACTGGAAGAAAAGGGACAGGTATTTTTTGTTCTGTTATAATAATTTAAAAAATAAAAGTTAAGAATATAAAGTTTAGCCATAAATATAAATTAAAAATATTTACATTGATAAAGTTCAAAATTTATTTTAAATCCTTTTGATATTTGAGAAAGTTTTTAAGATTTTCATAAAACTAAAACTTCACTCAAAGAAGGTTATGGCATGTTGAAGCTGCGTCATTTTTTACATTCCTAACTTGCTGTACCTTTCTATAGCTGGTTTAAGAGTATTGTTTGCTTTTTTGCAACAGATAAATGGAATGGTCAGTCCCATTGATTCAATATTAAAAGATTTATTTAAACATTTAGCTAAATTTTAAAACGAAGTGTTGAAAAATCTCTCTTAATTATTCTCAAGACATTTCTAATCTAATTTGAGTTAGAATATACATGTCAGTTTTATTAGAAGGTTTTCAGCCGATTTGAAGGAAAAACTACTAAGTTACTTTTCCATCCCAATAAACTGCATAATTTTTTTTTCTCAAATATTTTTTAATATCATTTTTTTATCTTTTAACTACTTTGCTTTTTTTATTTGGTTATTTTCAATTTAAGATGTCCTTACAATATTTTCACAAAGCACTGGGAAAGAGCAATATGAGGCTAGAACTAGGAAGTTTACACATTCCTTAGCAATCTCACAAATATGGCCAGAGCTGGCATTATACCTTGAACTTTCTGAAGCATGTTCTCTAATCACTGTGCAATGACTGCTCACACTGAGAAACATGAAATATTTATTTTTAACTTAGTCTAAATTTGCTTGTTTTTTTAACAATTTCTGTCTTATACAACTCATAAACAAAATGATGACAACTAAATTTTGCAATTAAGGTTCATGCCATTTTTAGCCAAACATAATTACTGATTTTTGTCAAAAACCAGAAAAATATAAATTTTATATAATATATTGCTTAGAAGTTAAAAACTTTAATCCTTTTAAAATTGTAAAGAACCAACTATTTCACTCAATAATATAAGCTTATTTCAAATGTGATGCAATAATGAGTTTTTTTATAACCATTGAATATTTTTCAATGCTTTTTACTTATTTTTTTTTAAGATTTTTAAAAATATCTTCATATTTGTTATTTTCTAAAATATATCTAACAACTTGGTTTTATTTTTCAATTTCTTAGCATGTAATTCTTTTGCTTATGTATATATATATATATATATATATATATATATATATATATATATATATATATATATATATATATATATATATTACAATTATATATAAGGCCACAGTTGTAAACAAAAACTTGTTAGCCGGAGCAGTATTTTTTAAAGTCAATAGAGTTAATTTTAATTTTGAAGTTCTTGATATTTTTGGCATTCATGACATCAGGCGTCAAGTTATTCCAAATATTAACAACTCTGAGTGAGAACGAGTATTTTAGTTTGCGTCATTTGAATTAGTATCCTTGAGTGTAAATATAGTTGTTAATTAAAAAGAAACTTGATTTATTTAGGTAAACTAAATTGCTCAGAATTTTGTAACATGTAATCATGTCTTGCTTAAGGCGGCAAATTTCTAGTAGTTCCAAACCAAGAATTTTAAGTCTATTTAAATATGAAATGTTATTTAGATAATTAGCAATTATCTTTGTACTCATTCCACTGTTTTGTTCATTTCAGTGTGGTTTGGCTACCAAACCGGAAAGCAATATTCTAGGATCGGTTTTATATAGGTAGTGTAGGCTTTTACAATAACACGTGGATCACAACTTTTAAAACATATAAGGATTACATATCCTCAAGTGTTTGAAATATGGTTATTGTAATTTAAATAAGAATCCATGGTTACACCAAGATTTTTTGGATTTGTAGACCAGGTTAAATTATGATCTCCTAATTGATAGTTGTAATTTATATCTTTACAAAATAAAGTAGGTACTATTCTATGAGTAAAGCATTTATTATTGGCTGCTTTTAACTGCCATTTTTTACAATGGCTTATCAAAGTTATGTAATTGCCCAACATTTTATTTATTTCAAGGAAAAATGTCTTTGATAAAAATATTTTTTTATATATTTTTGTGTGTGTGTGTTTATATATATATATATATATATATATATATATATATATATATATATATATATATATATATATATATATATATATATATATATATACATATATATATATATATATATATAATATATATATATATATATATATATATATATATATATATATATATATATATATATATATATATATATATAAATTTTGCCTTCAAAATTTGATCATTTACCATTTTCTTTAAAATAGAGTTTATTTATTTAAAGGAAAAGTGTTATTTGTACTGGCCTCAGGCTGGCTCAGTTGCTTATGGCTCAGTAAGTGTCGAGCTCTTGAATGTGAAAAAAGATGATGATTATTTGGTGACTCATGAGTTGCGGCTAACTAATCAAGAGGTTTTTCATTATAAAATTGTTTTTTTTATTTGTAACTTTTATTAATTATTATTTAATCATTTGAAATTGTTTTCATTATTGTTTCTTTATATTTGTTTAATTGCTTTGTTTAATTTTTTATTTATTTTAAATTTTCAATTTTTTTATTTTTCAAATTAATTATTTTATTTATTTTAAATTTTCAAATTAATTATTTATTTTTTTTATAAAAATAAGAACATTCAAATTATTTTACTTTTAGGTGGAAAACTGGGAAATTTTGATTATATATATTTTTTTTTAATTTAAGAAATGATCAATCAAATTATCAAAATTAAATTATTTGTTTAAGAAATTAAGTGAAATTATTTTGTTTTTAAAATGAATTAAATAATTTGAAACTACTACAGAGCAAAAAACAAAGATTCAGATCATTACAGTCTGGATAGTTATAATATAATAAAAATCTTTTTGAATACAAATAACATAGCAATTTGTGAAATTATTCTTGTTGTATCTATTTTATTTTGTATTTTTGTATAGACTGGTCGATCTTGGATCATTACACATTTTTGGTTCTTGGGATGGCCTGACTATGGTTCTCCAGAATCTGGCTCAGAGCTTATACAACTTATCGGCTCAGTTCAAAAATCAAAAAAATCAACTTTAGAATCTGGACCCATACTTGTACATTGCAGGTACTTAAAAATGTGTTATTTGATTCTGAAAAAAAGATAAAAATAGTTCTAGTATTGTATTACTGATACATTATTTTAGTGGTGGAGTTGGGCGTACAGGTGTTCTCATGGCTGTTATGAATTCTATTGAACGGCTAAAAGTAAAGGGTGTTGTTGACATTTTTCAAACTATTCGAGCTTTAAGATTACAAAGAACAGCAATGGTTCAAACTGTGGTATTTTTAATTTTTTTATATTTATATTAGTTATTTTAAGTTTGTTGTACGTTTTTTTTTTTTTTTTCTGTATTATTTCTTGTCGCGTTGGTTTGGTGAATTTTTTTTTTCTTTGTGTAATATTACTGTTTCTGTTGTATTCAGTTTTTATTTTTATTTTTTGTAGTGTATTGTTTTCGGTTTGTTTAAATTCCTTTCTTTTTGTCTTTTATAATAATTTTTTTTTTTTCATACTGTTATTATTGTCATCTGGTCTTATAAATGTTTTGCTGCTTTGTATGTTCTGCTTTTTAAAGCAAAAACCTATATTTTATTTAAAGAATTTTAATGCGATGTTTTACTTATGTTTATTTTCACTGCTTTTTACTATCACTATGATCAGTTGAAATTTGGACAGTTTTAAATTGAGTTTTCTCAAAGACAACTTAACCAATTGTAATGATTTTCTTTTTATTATGATGCTTACATAATTAATTTTTGTTTCAATAAAAGTAAATATAGCCTTAACTTTACGACGTGCAAGTAATTTAATTTTTTGTAAAGTACTCACCATCATTTCCACAATTTTACTTTGCATCCCTTTTTTGTAGCATTAATACATAAATCTTTTTTATGTATTAATGCTACAAAATTTCAAACACTATTTTTACATTTGCCTCTTTTCCTCAATATTCCCTTCACAATTGCCCAGTAAGGTTCGATAACTTGCTTCTCAGGACATTTTGGTGGATTAGCATCCATTAGAACAAAATGAACTCTTTTTTTCTTATACCACTGAATTACTTTTTTGAAATAGTGGATCGATACCAGATCTGGCCAAAATAAGATTGATTGTTTGTGCTTTTTAATTAGAGGAAGAAGTCGTTTTTTCAAACATTCACTTACATATAGATCTGGTGTCAAAGCTTTTATTTGTTATGAAAGGAGAGCTTTGAAAACCTCAGCTGCAAATTGCCTGCCATACAAGGAACTCGAAAGTGATTTTCTTACTTAAATGTGCTTTAATTTGTCAGAAGCATTATAATGTTTTGACTGATAATAGTATTGATTACCTAGAAGCATCAAGTGATCTTTTTTATAGTAAGTTTTATCATCTTCTAAAATGCATAATTTTTTTTTTGTAATTTAAGCTAATTTTTAGCTAATCCAATTGCCTTGATTTCTCCATCAAGCAACATTTTTGATATTTTTTTCTTGAAATATTCTTTCAGTTTTCTTTTTTGAATACTCTTTGAATGAAAGCTTTATTGCATTTAAACGTCATAGCTAAATCTTGTTGTGACTGAATCAGATTTTGATAGAATCAACTATTGATTTTGCCTTCTTTTTGGAAATCCTGATTTCCCACCACTTTCCGATTTTATTTTACAGTTTTTTTTTCTTTATAACATTTTATAATTATTTCAACAGTTAATTTTGGAACTTTACATGCTTTTGAAATCATGGAATATGAGAACAATGGATTTTCTATATAAAATTTCAAATTTTTATTCCTAAGAAAAGAACTAAAATTTCAAATTTTCACACTCTTTACTCCACATTGCAAAAACTAATGAGGAGTAAACAAAATTACACTCTCACACAAGAAAACTAATTATATTAGCATCATTATAAAAAAAAATCATAACAATTGATTAAGTAGTTTTTAAGAAAACTCAATTTAAAATAGTCCAAATTTCAATCGATTATGGTGATAATGGAAAAGGAAAAGAAAATTCCTTCAATAATCTGTGTATTTTTAAAGTGTGTTGTTATGGGATAAGTTTTCTTCTGGAACCAATTAAATTTCTAGGATCTTTAAGAAATTTTGAAATGAATGATTGTTGAGATCTTACGTAATTTGGATTTGCTTCAAATCTGGCTGGAATCAAATCAACATTTTTTATGTGTTTTTCCTAAATTATATGTTTCATTCTAAATGGACATCTCCTAAATAATATGTTTCATATTTGATGGACATCTTCTAAGCTTTTGTTTAAGTTTAAAGCTTTTTTTTAATCTTAATGCTAAAATTAGTCATCTATTTGTATGATGTAAACAACATCCTTTATTGTATTCATGTGAAGACGGTTTAAAAATGTGTCTACATTTTTAAACCGTCTTCTGGCAGGCAAATGCAAATTTGAACTTTTTTAAATTAAAACTTTTTACTATGTTTCCTGTTTAGGGAGGTTAATCATCTTTAATTTTTGACTTATTTTGACTGCTAAGTTGGCTCACTCTTTTTGAATCGCGAATTTGTTCATTTTTTGAATCGCGAGTTCGTTCATTTTTTGAATTGCTGGGTTGGCTTCATATCAAATTTGATTTTCAATTTTAACTTAAAACATAAAGAACATCATTAAAAATATATCCAGGGGGTATTAAAGGGAGGGGGAGGAAATGATCTATCGACTGTTTTTAGATATACTTCTGTATTGTATTGCTGAAAAAAGATTTTTTAGAAGCTAGAAATCCTCATTGCCAATTTGTTGTCCTTATTACGACAAGTTGGTAAGTTGCTAATTACGTTATAATTGTCACTATCTAGTCGTCAATTTACCTCCAAGTAATCTAAATATTCTATATCTGTGTTATGTTATGTCTGTGATGAAATATTCCTCATATTGAGTCATAATATAATATAATGAGTCCTTTAGTTTTATTTTCTTGGATCTTTTTGTTTTCTTTTTCTTATCACTAAACATTTGAAGTTGTAGACAAACTTTAGAATCTACAATTATGTAATAAAATATTTGATTGGTTTGATTAATAAAATATTTGATTGGTTTATTTAATAAAATATTTGATTGGTTTGTTTAATAAAATATTTGATTGGTTTGATTAATAAAATATTTGATTTGTTTGATTAATAAAATATTTGATTGGTTTGATTAATAAATCTGATTAATAAAAAAGACTGGTTTGAGAAGAAAAAAAGTAAAATCAAAATGAGCTCCTAATTTTATTTCGCAACCTTTTATATGTGGAGTTTTATGTGGCAAAATTAAAATTAAAAAATTGCGAATTTTTATTTATCAAATCAGTTAATAGGAGAACTGAATTGAAACATAAGGAAATTCAATTTGCATTTGTTACAAGGTTTCCAAAAATCCGGTTATTTATGTAAGAGAGCGCGTTACTGATCTTAATGAAAAATAATTTTAATCTTAAAATTAAAAATCTTGAAAAAAATTAGTCGTAGTTTTTGTTTTATCATATTTGTTTATCAAAAAAATACGTAACGTTTTCTGTATTTTCACTTTTTATAACTACTTTATTTTCAAACGTGATCAATATATTTGTCGAGTTGTTGGTGATGTAATCACATGCGATCAATATATATATATATATATATATATATATATATATATATATATATATATATATATATATATATATATATATATATATATATATATATATATATATATATATATATATATATATATTATACACGTGATCTATATATATATATATATATATATATATATATATATTTGTTGAGTTATTGGTTATGTAATCACACGTGGTCAATATATTTGTTGAGATATTAATTTATTTTTATTGAAAAATAATTATATTTTTTATGTTTCTTTCTAGGATCAATACATGTTTTGTTATCAAGCTTTAAAAGATTACCTTGACTCGTTTGATTTGATTGCTGTTGCTAAATGTTAATTTTTAATATACTTAATAAAATTAAAAAAAAAAAAACTGATTACAAAAGAATTTACCACTATCGTTGAACTAATGGTCAGAATAATGTAAGAATGAATTCAATGTTGAATAATCTTGTCCTATATTATTTTACAAACTTTAATTACGACAAGGTATTTAAGTACTGCTAAAAAAAAAGGAACACAGAAGATTAAGAACTAGACGATATGTTTGGTTAGTTAGAAATCGATAAAAGATTATAAAATAACTAAATAATTTATTCATACCTTAGCGTTAAAGTTTTAGAGGACCTTCAGGATTTTTGTCAAGGTATAAACGATCAGCGGTTTTTACCAAGTTTTGATTTGAAACGGTTTCGAAATGATAATTTTGAGTTTATTTTCACTTGAGCTAAGTGAAATAAACTGAAAAAGTAAAAATACCATTTAATGAGTTTCCTAACTTTTTACAAAGGTTTGGTAGTGTAAATTGTTTACACCTTTTCAAAACATTAAATAAAATTTGTTCCTAAGATAAATAGTGTATATATATATATATATATATATATATATATATATATATATATATATATATATATATATATATATATATATATATGTATATATATGCATGTTTTGTGATTATGTTAATTGTGAAAATGATAGCATTTAAAATTAAAACTTTCAGTTTTTCTTCATTTAATTATAATTAATCTTAAGGACATCATTCTTCCTAAAATGTTTTCTTTCTGTTGTCTTGCAAAAAAAAAGCGTAATATCTTTTTTATTTGCTATCCTTAAAATGGATATTTATTTAATAAAACTTATGTTGAGTTGAAAATCTTGTATATAATGTCAATATATATATACATATATAAAAATTTTTCTACGTACATACTATTAAGTATAAAAGCGTTTTTTTTTTGTTTTGTTGTTTTTTTTGTTGTTTTTTTTTTCTGTTAGCGCTGCTATGTTCCTTTTTTTTTTAATTATTTTTTGTTTGTTTTTTGATTTTATCTATCAATTAAAAATTGTTTATAAAAAAAGATTTGCTTTAAGTGGTTGTCGCATTTATCAATATAACTTTACAGAATGCATTAATATCACAATAGTCAGTTTATCCATGAGTATAATTATTACGCGTTTTTTTAATTATAGGGTTTAAAGTTTTACATTGCGTCCGTTGTAAAGGGATTTTTTGTTTTTCTTTTGACATAAAGATTTTTGCTGACCATTTAAACACAAATTTAAAATTTATTTTTAAAAGGTATTTTAATGCTAAATTAGCTAGTTATTTTATTTGTTAAGTGAATATTTTTATACGTCTCAACTATTTTTATGTCAACATTGTATATTTTACTGTTTCAAATAAAATAGAATTACGATTTTTTTTGCTTATTTTGAATAATTTAAAAAAAAAAAAAGAAGGGTAGAAAATGAATAGATTTTTAGGTATTATTGTTAATGTTGCTTTCGTAAAATATTTTTCCTTTTGTAGGTATTTGAACTTTTTCTTTATGTAGGTTCAATTATTAGAAGTATTTATTAAAATTACGCTTTTTAGAAGTACTTATTAGAAGTACGCTGTAACGGGGAAAGGTAAAAAAGCGGATGTCTGTAAACAATATAAAGTACATTTAGTGTATATAAAACAAGCTAACTTTTTAAAATTTATCTAAATCATTTAAATTATAAATTTATATTTACATATTACCCTACCCAAACCATACCCTACCATAACATAACCATACCCTACCCAACAAATATAATCACTTAATGACAAAAATATCCAAGAGCCATTTTGCCTAATTAAAAACGACAGTTTCGCGTTTCTTATCGTAGTTCTTTTCTTAGGAATAAAAATGTAGTACCTGGTTTTGGTTTTATTTAGTATATAGAATATAAAGAGTATTTATATTAATGGTAATAAACCAAAAGTTATACACCATATACGAGTTTTAGAGGACTGTACAAGTTGATAAACAAGCATAGTTAATGAGGAGGAAATATGTCGAATTTTAAATAATTACTTTCGATCGGTTTCGTAATCGAGCCGCAAGGTCCGATGTCAGATTATAAACCAAAGACGGAAGTGAAATGTACAACGCAGTTTATTACGTCGTGATAAAGTACAGTATAGATTTGAAAATCTTAACGGGAACAAGACGATGGGCATCAACGGCGTCCTCTCAGGTTTACTCAAAATGTGTGCAAAAGCGTTTTTCGTTTTTCAGACTTCACTTTCTAAAGGTAAGGTAACAATAATTTATAAAGTTGTAAAAAATCATCAAGGTAAAAAAAAAAAAAAGGTGCCAGACGACTGGAAGTGCTCAAGTATTACACCGATTGTTTTTAAAAAATCGTGTTTTACAAACCTTCTGGAAACACTTGATCTTTTAACAGAAACTATGTGTCAGAGAACGCTACAGACGTAATTTTCACGGATCTGGCAAAGGCCTTTGGCAGAGATCCACACAATAAAAAATTTACACAAAATTCAAAACTATGCAACCAAATAGGAGCTTCACGCATGGATTAAAGCATGGCTCTCAGGAAGGCAGCAGAGAGTCGTAATCGAAGAGCGTGCATCAAATTGGAAAAATATTATTAGCGGCGAACCGCAAGGTTTAGTCTTAGGTCCATTACTGGTTGTTCTGTACATTAATGATCTTCCAAACAAATTGGAACATCTGATTAAGCTCTATGCTGATGACAAAATTATTGGAGTCATAAAATCTGACCGGGACGCAAAGAATTTGTAAGCAGACTTAGACAAAACCATTGCTATCTCATAACCTTCAATACTGAAAAGTGTAAAGTCGTGCATACTTGCCGAGAGAAAAAAATATCAAAACGAGACTATATCATGCCAGGACCAGTCGGCCTGCCACTTGCAATCGAAGTTATTCAATTAGAGAGAGATCTTGGAGTTCTATAGTTTGGATGATCTTAAACTTAATGCTCAAGTTTCATATGCTGAGGTAAAAGCTAATCACTCCTTAGGGAGGCTTTTTGCAGCCGTAGTTTTTTACTGTGGAAAGTACTGTACACTACGTATGTTTGTCCTCACCTCGAGTGCGCTAACCAAGCGTGGTCACCGTACAAATGGGCAGATATAGAAGCGCTAGAAAAAGTTCAAAACCGTGCTATAAAAACCATTTCTGAGATTAAGCATTGCAATTTTTGCATTAAAATTAAGCATTAATCTTCGCTGCTCGGCGGTGCGATGTTAGAATTTATGACACTTGAAGAAAGAAGAAAAAGAGGTGATTTTATTTTGATGTTCAAGTTCATGCGTAAAATCGATGAAATATATTTTCACCATTCAATATTCTTGGTTGTCAAAGTATCTTATGCGTGGTTATAATTGACGACTTGTACAGCAAAGAGTACTCAGTTGCATGCCAAGAGAGAAGTTCCTCACGAACCGTGTTGTATTGGAATACCCTGCCACAAATAGTAATTGACGCGACTTCGGTCAACGTGTTCAAAAATCTAAATGAAAATTTAAATCAGTTAAAAGAGATTTTTAAATGATAACTTGAAATAAAATTTCTTCACATATGTTTCTAGTATTCTGTTATGTTTTTAAAGTATGGTACTTGTATTGCAGATGTGCACGAGTATCTTAAGACTGTTAGTGTAGTTATATTATATTATTATTATTATTATTATTATTATATATATATATATATATATATATATATATATATATATATATATATATATATATATATATATATATATAATTCTAAAGCAATCTTAGTAATCATAAGCAGTTAGTTAATACCCAAGGCTCTTCTTTGTCGTTATTAATGATTGTAACATGTAGTTACATTAATTTATTACCTATTATTTTTAAATATATAAATAACCTTAACAAAGCCTCTAACTTAACCATTATAACTTTTGCTGATGACACAAACTTATTCCAATCTCATGAAAATATAAATAGTTAACAAAATTTAAATAAAAATGATGACACAAAAATTAAATAAAATGACACAAAAATTAAATAAAATCTCATATTGATTTAAGAAAAACAGAATTTTCCTCAATACTGATAAAAAAAAACAGACACTTTTTACCTAATATCCAGAAAAAAATTCTTGCCAAATACGCGACCTCTTTATTGATAATACAATACTAAAGAGGGAAAAAGTTAAAATACTTCTTGGAGTTATTGTTAACGAATTTTTATCCTGGAAACAACAAATCAATAACATCTCTGTGAAAGTTGCTGAAAGTATTGGAATAATATATAAAGTTTGACATATGTTAAATAAACAACAATTAAAACAACTTTATTATTCGTTTATCCACTGCCATTTAAATTATGCAAATATTGAATGGGGAAACGCGCACAAAACTAAACCTAAATCTTTTTATCAGCAAGCTTAGTTAATTTTGTAAATCGTTTTTCAAATTTAAAACCACTTCTGAGAGAAATAAAAGCCTAAATGTATACGAACTAAGTGTCTATAATATTTTATGTTCCATGTTCAAATTTAAATATCACTTATCTCCGGATGTATTTATAAACTTTTATAATGTAAAACCCATAAACAAATACAATCTTCGTAATGGAAAAAATCTCTAAGAACCTTTCTGCCATAATAAATTTGAACAACTATTTATTTCTAATCGCGGTCCTTATTTATGGAATAAAATAGTTTTGCCTAATTTTAATTTGTCTTTGAAATGGACTTCAACTTCTTTCAAACGAAAATTAAAATTAGTTCTTTTTAACAGAAAATATTTTTTCTTCTTTTTAATTCATATATTTTATCTAATATATTTATATTTTAAATGATCGATTTACTTTTATTGGTTAATTTGATGTTGTTATTATTATATTTGATATTGTAAAGGGCTTCATGATAAGATCGTATAATCTTTTTTTTTTTTTTTTTTTTACAACAATCATTATTATATATTTCAAAAACAAATAACATTTACATCTCTCCAGTTTATATAAATATCCACCACAAATATTTACAATTTATAAAGAGCGTTAACATGTTACAATATATAAAGAGCGTTAGTTAGAGCAGTAATATTTTACTATATTTGCTAACTATATGTATTTATTATATATTTTTTTTAATTTAGCTTTCATTTCTTTTTTTTTCTTTATTTATTTTTATGGCTTAAATTGTTCTTTTTACATTTTATTATATAAATTGTTCTTTTATATTTAATACATATCGATAAAATTGGTTTTGTTAATTATGAGATCTTTTAGTTTTTTCTTCAGGGCAATAAGATTATCCAGTTTAGTAAGTTCTATATTTTGAGGTATTATTTTATTGTATAAATAGGGGCCACGATATATAATTGAAAATCTCGAAAGATTTGTTTTTTTAAGGTAAAGTTTCCAGTTCCTCGTGTGATATATCTGTTGGCGTTGGTTCGAAATAAGTTATTAGTAAAATGAGTTCGGACAAGTCCCAGCTTATATTTGAGCATAAATAAATTATTTTGGTAGATGTTAATTTGATAGATATTTAAAGCATAGAAATTTTTAAGTAAAGGATCGGCATGAGCGAATTTATTTTTATTACAAATCAATCTTGATACGTGTTTTTGGTGTATACATAGAGAACTTAATTTAGATTTATTTGTATTTCCCCAGGCAATATTAAAGAACAAATTTATAAGAAAAATAGAGGATTTTTAGATTCTCCTGGGAAAGTATAGATTTGACTTTGTAAAGTATACCGATACTTTTTGATACTTTTGTATTTAATTTTTTTATATGGGCTTTCCAAGAAATCGTTTCGTCAATAATTATCCCAAGAAATTTAATAGTTTCAGTTCTTTCGATGTTTATGTTATCAATTTTTAATAATGGTAGAATGCTTGGTATTTTATTTTTTTGCTGGTTGGAATAAATCAAGATGTATTTTGTTTTTTCTGAATTTAAAGATAATTTATTTACTTTAAACCAAATGTTCTCTCAAGGTCGTCGTTCGCAGATTTAAAGAGATTTTCAATTGATGCTGAGATGCTGGCCCAGTTCCGCTCGCGACTACGGCGCGATGACGGCTGTCGATCACGGGCCTGCATCAGGACCTGCTGTTGATCACGGGCCAGCACTGGCCTGCTGCCATGGGCCAGCATTGGCCCGCAATCATTCGGCCTGCGATCGTTTGCCAGCGCTGGCCCGGGATCATTTGCCAGCACTGGCCCGCGATCGCTTATCAGCATTGGCCCATTATCTATTACTAGGTACTGATCCGTGATCATTTTCAAACATTTGTTCGTGGTCGCGTGTGATTACTAAAGCGTTACTTTTTACTAATACATTAGGACGTTATTATTAGCTGTTTAAAGTTGTACTGTTTAAAGTTGTAGCTGTTGTACAAATGTATTATCCCGCATGAATCATCCAAATAAGTACTTTTCGAAATTTATTCCAACTTAAATCGGAAAAAATAAATAAGTATTTTCGAAATTTATTCCCAACCAAGAGTGTGTTAAAAAATAATGAAAAAAAAAATTAAAAAATGTTATTAAAAGTTAAAATTGTTATTTATGTAAATAACTTTTTATACAAAGAACGTGCCTCTCGAGTTTTTCGTCCGTCATTTCGATCCCCAAAAAGCAAAAAATATTTTTTTAGTTAATGTTTAAATTCTTCTCCTGATGCTCCTGAGGTTAAAGCTTTTATTTTCACAGCATCTAAATAAAACAAAGTTAAACTATGTGTGAAAAATAGTAAACAATTAAACTAAAATGTATGATTAAAATGTACATTACACTTACATATATAAACGTTAGGATAATTAAAAAAACTTTTTTTAAAATATTGTATTTAATAAAACAACACTAGATATAAAATTTAAAACAATATTTAAATATAAGACAAGTTCATATTATTATTGAAAAAAAGAATTATATAAAAATAACTTCAAGAACAAATTGCGAGATTACTATTAACCAATGCAATGAAGTGTTTTTTTGCTCACATTCGCAAGAAACCATCTCACAGATAAACATCCATTGGATGTCACTTAAGACCCCAAAAACTAAAATAACAAAAAATTAACAATAATGAAACAGTTAAATTCAGTTTACTAATGCTTACTATGTGCTTCAATTTTAGCATTAGATGCAACTGATGATGCAATACTGATTTATGGAGCTATGAGAGCTTTAATTCATCCAGCAACTGATCAGCACAAAACTAAGTTGATATCATCTCAATAGGCAAAAATAAAATATTTTCATTTTTCTTCAAAGCACATTTTTTAGAACAAAAGAGCTATAAAAAAATTAAGAAATTGTCACCTTAAAAAGCACTTTTTTAAATAAATTCTTCATTAAAAAAAAACTTTCTAGTCAATAAAATACAATACCATAGAAGTAGACGGGTCTCCATCCCATAAGTTGTCTAACTAATTGCTTTCGAAAAAAGTATGTCTATCAATTTAACTTAATAAATTTTCATGCATATTTGTATCCTATTTACATAAACTAATTAAAAGATTGTTTCAGAACATTTTGGAATTTAGTTACAAAAAGAAAAAAGAATATTCAAACGAAAAAAGTTTAAAAATACATCCTCTTCTAAAACTTCAGAAAAAGAGCCTTGTTTAAAAAAGTTATTTATTTTTAAATGATCTGAAAAAGTCAAATTTTCAATACATAAAAATGTCAAAGGAGGAATAGCACGGGCTGGAGCAAGTGTCTTTTTTATTATTTACAACTTTTTTTTTTTTCAGTAACTGTGGAGTGTTAGTTTCTGAACTTAAATATACAATTTTGCGATAATATACATTTCTATAAAATACTGAAAATGAATCAACATCATGATATGATGATCACCATCTAAATTACATATGCTCATCATTATTATGTATACCATATCATCATCACAATCATTAGATCATCATATCATAGGACAAAGACTTTTCTGAAATCTGTTGACTTCTAAATTTATCAGGTCTTACTGTCGTTAATTGAAAAAAAGTCTGAATAAACTTTTGCCATTGGCAATTTTATTCTTGTTTAGTCATGTTACTAACAAAATCAAAATAGTAAAAAAATGTTAGAAAACTACTTCAAAAAAAAAAACAAACAAAAAAATATACTATAGAAAAAATATATATTTCTAAAAATATACATAAAACAACTAACCAGAGTTAATCTAATCAATCTAATCATTCATATAATCTTTACATTTTTTAATGGTAAATGTGGCGAGTCTTAAAGGACCATCCACAAATACTATTTTGTTATCTAACTAAAAAAAAATAAAAATAAAAATTATCAAAAGAAAAAAAAATCAGAAAAGAAAAAGGAAAAAAAAAATTAAAAGAAAAAATACTTGAAACTTGATAATGATAATTTGTTATGTAAATATTACATGTAAATATTTATTGCTATATAAATATTACATGTAAATATTTATTGCTATATAAATATTACATGTAAATATTACATGGTAAGTTATTTTATCAAGTTTTATTTGAAGATTTTCAAATTGGTTTATTATTATGAACAGATAAGCTTTATTAAGACATGATATATTTAATACTACACTGTGATATTGATGCTCTTTTGAAAAATAAGAAACCTATAATTCTAATATGGAATTTTTATGAGAAAGTTATACGAGAAACCTATAATTCTAATATGGAATTTTTAAAAATAATGTTTAAAGTTTAAATACACACATATGTATGCATGTATATATATATACATATATATATATATATATATATATATATATATATATATATATATATATATATATATATATATATATATATATATATATATATATATATATGCATACATACATAGTATCTATGTATATATATGTATAAATGTATGTATTTACATACATTTATACATAAATACATGATGTATGTATGTATATAGACACATCAACTCATAAAATCAAAACAGATTGTTAAAAGAAAAACATAAAGGCATTTTTTAATAATTATCAATATTGAAGTTTTTTTTTATTTCCTTTACATAGATCATGTACAGCCGAATAATAGACAAAATTCTTGTTCTGACAAATATGCAAACTTTTTTTTTTATTGTAAGTAAAAAGCATGTTAAAAGCAATCTTTAAATAAAACGTCAAAAGTACAGAATTCTATGATTTTAAACATTATCTAAAAGCTAGGTTTTTAGTACGAAGCCACTTTTCAATAAACTCCATGAACAATGTTAAATAAAATATAACAAATCAATAATATAGATAAAGATTTTGGTGAATAATTTTGGTTGTTTGTTTTCATATTGGTCTCTAAACCGTGCCTAATATCCAACGCTTCACCAAAAAGTATTACCACACACTGTTGACACAGTCAGACCCCTTTTTTAACAAGCTAGAAAAATCTGCATGCATTGTACAATAGTTTTATTTATAAGAATTGATTTTTTTTTGTCAGCAAAAAATAGGCAATATTGTTTATTTAGTTTTTTAAGTGTAAATGTTTAAATAAAGCATTTATATGCAGTACAACGCTTAAATCTATTTCTTTAAGACAATTGTTTTTAAAGCTGCTAGTTTATAATGACAACAACAACAATATATTCAGGTAAGCTAATCCAGATTGTTCAAAAGTCTTTCAATTGAACCCTTTTTGCTCTGAATAGTTCTAATCTAACTTTCTAAATAATTTTGCTTAAAGTGAGATGTGAAAATACTGCTTAACTTTTTTTCGAGTTAAAAGCTAAACTTTTTTTAAAAGCTCCTGACACCATTTTAACATACTAGTTATTGTAACATTTATTCTCTAATGAGGTAGAGCATTTAAAATACAAAACATTATTTTCTTAATTCGAAGTTGAAATACCCTTAACAGTAACATGTTACTTTCCTTTGTAACATGTTACTTTGTTTTGATGTTACATCACATAGAGCAGGTTTATCAGCCTGAAACTTCTTTGAATTTATTAGATTAAAATGAGTATTATTTTGATCAACAAATTGGTTGGTCAATAAGAAGTCAGTATAACAGTTGACAATAATAATTAATTCAAATAATGCTCCAAGAATTTTGGTGCATGACAGATAGAACTGCATTTACGTCTTTCTATTCTATAGATCGTCTGAATGTGATGCCATGAGACTATATTTAAAACATAAATACTGTAGAAATGGCATTATGAAGAAGACATTTTCCCTTAGTGTTTGTTAAATAAAAATTAAACTTTTAAAATAATTGATGCACAAATTCCACTCGTATTTGCGCAGTTAGTTGCAGCACAATTTGAAGGTATTTCTGAACAACAAAGAGTATTATTTATTAAAGAATAACGCAATATAAAACAGAAAACTACAGAGTTTCAGCCAAGTTTGTTAATTCTATACTACTATGACATCCCAGAATGCCTTGCGCTTACGATTACACTCTTAACTATGTAATAAATATTAAAGAGTCGATAGCCCTTGCTTACGACTATTCGCCAGAGCTCTGGCATTTCGTCGCACGCCGCTGCGACTTCTTGCGATGATTTACCGTATAAAAAAAGTTGCTTTAATCGCTTGCCAGACTCGCGCCAGTAATGGCCCGTTACTAATATAGTCGCAACGGCGTGCGATGATTTGCCAGAGTACTGGCCCGGTACATTAAAAGTTGCTTAACTCGCTTGCCAGACTCGCGCCAGTAATGGCCCGTTACTAATATAGTCGCAACGGCGTGTGATGATTTGCCAGAGTACTGGCCCGGAGTCGTGTGCTGTCTGGGTATACTGTTTATGAACAATTAGGTTTACCTCATTTCTATTTTTTAAGTATTTAATATAAAGTTTTTGCCTTTTTTTTTGAGGATTTTTTAATACCTTTGGTGGTCCATGGACATTTTAAGTGTTTTTCTTTTGTTAATTTTACTTTATTTGGAAGTGCATATTATAGTTTTTTAGGAAAATTTTTTCAAAGTTATAATAAGCAGAGTTAGTGTGCCCAAGATTGCATTCATGGTATACCTTATCCCACTCTTCTTCCTTAAAGTACTTAAATTGTTGAATAGCAAATTTGTTGATTTTTCTTTATAAGTTTTAATTTTACAACTTTTATTAGACTTTGTATCTTGCGTCAAGGAGAAGAAAATAGGAAAATGATCTGGTATATCTGTCTTTATTATTCCTGCCTTTAGAGAAGTATCAAAGATTGAATTAGTTAATACATTGTCTATTGCGGTGATTGAAGTTGGAGTTACTCGAGTTGGTTTGTTAATAATTGGGAAGATGTAATTTTGAAGCGTTTCGTCAAAAATAAGTTTAGTATTAGCACGATTATTTTATTTTTACAATACAGAATATTTTTTAGCTCATTGTTGTTTTTTATAAAAATTTGTTTTAAATGATTGTAAAATTTAAATAAATAACCTTCAGGTGGCCGGTAACATGTGGAGACCAGTATGTTTTTTGATTTGTTGCTAGTTATTTCAATCGTAAAAAGCTCACTCTCGGCATCTGAGACCGAAAGGTCATCTCTTATTTTGATAAATTGATCATTCCTAATATAAGTTATAGTTACACCTCCCTATTTGTTAGTTTTCTTTCAGATTATAATAATTTGTAGTTAGGAATTTCTAAACTTGAATTTATTCTGCATAATTCGTCAGAACACTACGTTTCTATTAGGCATATCATACTGAATAAATAATCGCATTCGATAAGAAAATGTTTTAGCTTATCCATACTGCTGTTTATACTTTTTATGTAAAATTGCTCTCTAAGGTTTTTAGCTCGTTTTTTAAAGTTTTTCTTTTAAAAAAGGATGAACTAAAATTGTTTACGTTTAAAAAATCCAAATTAGCGTCAGAAATATCATTAAGTAAAACATTTGCGGATTTGAAAACATTAAAGTGTAATTTTTCAAAATCTATTGTTAAATTAATCATTATTTAAAATAGTTAAAATATCTTCTGGAAGTCCTGCCGATTATACTTGTAATAAAGCTGTTCTATTGTTAGTTAGTTAAATCACACGGAACGGGCTTGTTCCGTAAATCCATCAACAACTAGCCGTGCAAGCTTGTGCGAAGTTGCATGGAAAATGATGAGCTGTAGTAGTAATGGTAGCTGATCGAGTTTTACTTTGAAGCGGTTGACACTGACAGCACTGTGGTTAGAAGTTAGCACTAAATCTTGCAGAACGCCACTGGTAACTTTTATCCAGGTGGATAACGTATTACCTTGAAGAACGTGCTTTGATTGATTTGAAAGGAGAGCACTTATCCAGTTTAGGATGTTACTTTCAATTCCGTAGAATTCATGTTTTTGCAGTAACCTTCTGTGGGGACTTTGTTGAAGGCTTTAACTAAATCAAGAAAAATTACGTCTACTGGAAGCTTGCGAGAAACGCTGTAGATCAGAAAGTCCATGGCCTCAAGCAGATTTGTAACGCAGGCTTTTTTATTGATAAAACCGTGTTGACAATTGGCAATAAGTGTATGAGGTAGAAGGTGCATGCATAATCTGTAATTGTAATTTTTTATTAAAGACAAATAAATATATACACACAAAAAAAAATGAACTTAAGCATTTATTAGTATAGAGGTGCCTGATGCAGCACATTTTCGTTGATGATTTAAACCAGAGTTTTTAACTAAGCCATAAGTAACAAGGCCAAGGCCCAGGGTCATCCCGAAGAGATTTTAAAGGGGGGGGGGGTGCCGAGTCTGTTTTTTGCCGACTAAAGCCAAAAAAATATTTTTTTTGCCCACTAACTTATCTAATAAAAAAAAAAAAAAAAATCCTTGTTTTCCGACATTTGCCGACTGCCAACGATAATTCCCATTTTGCCGACTCGTGTGTCCGATTTGCCGACTAAGTGTCCTAATTCGTAGGGAGGCTAGACACGCCCCCCCCCTCGGGACGGCCCCGCCAAGGCCGAGGTTAAGACCAAGGCTAAAAGTTACAAGGTTAAAAACAAGGCCAAGAGTTTTAAGACCACAGCCAAAATTAAAGGGTTTCAAGGTCAAGGCCTACGCAAACATATTCGAGACCAAAGATTTTAATTTTGCCTTACGTTAAAGGCCGATTGTTAAAAAAACTGTAAGTAGCAAAAGCTCTGACAATAAAACCACATTTTGTAAAAATAGACCAAGGTTATGCGCTAAATTCAACGAAATCAATAAGAAAATTTGTATTTTTTTTAAATCTAAGGCCAAAGCAATTAAGGCTAAGGACTAAATTTTCAAGACCAAGGCTAACAGTTTCAAGACCATGGCCAAGGACTCAATTTTTGGCCTTTAGGCCAGGC